TGCTACAACCTTCCCTCCTGCTACCGCCTTCCTGCCTGCTACAACATGTATTCCTGCTGCAACATTTCCTCGTGCTACAACCTCCCAGTCACCTCCACGCTCTCACTCACCAGCATCCTGCACAGAAGCTGCAGGCCCCCCAATTTTTTCTCAGAGTGGATCCTTCCAGGTGCCTTCCTTCCCTGCACATATCGGCATGGGTACAGCTCCCTATTTCAACCCTCAGACTCCACCTCAACCTTCTCCTTCTCCTCCCCTTCCTCCTCCTCCTCAACCTTCTCCTTCTCCTCCCCTTCCACCTCCTCCTCCTCCCTCTCCTTCTCCTTCCCTTCCTCCTCCTCCTCCTCCTCCTCATCCTCTCCTCCTCCTCTCCTCCTCTCCTCCTCCTCCTCCTCCTCCTCCTCCTCCTCCTCCTCCTCCTCCTCCTCCTTTCCTTCTCCTCCCCTTCCTCCTCCTCATCCTTCTCCTCATCCTTGTCCTTCTCCTCCCCTTCCACCTTCCCCCCTCCTTCCACAACCTTCCTTCCGCATCCTCCTCCCTCCCCAAACCTTCATCCATCAATCCATCAATACCCACCACTACTTTCCCTCCGGCCGACAAGCCTCCTCAACATGTGCCGTTTCAAGCACACCCCTCCATGGCAGTTTCTTGTCAACCAGAGCTCACACATGGAACTCCTGCTTCTGCCCCTTCTACATCTGGGCTTACCTCCAGCCTCATTCCTACTTCTGCTCCTTCTACACCTGGCTTCAACTCCAGCCTCATTCAAGATTTTTCTCCTGCTACAGCTGCCTTTGCCTCCAGTTTCTCTCCTGCTTCTGCTTCTACAGCTAAATTTAGCTCCAGCCTCGCTCTTGCTGACCTCCCTTCCTCGCCTCTGCCCCATTATCGCCCACCCAGCTATTATCCACCTCTGCTTCACCCACCAGAGGCATCAGCAGACGCGGAAGCAGCGGCAGCAGCACTGGCAGAAGCGGAAGTATCAGCAGGGGATCCAACAGCCAGTCTCATTATGCCAATGGTACAAAAAACCAGTCATATTGATTCGTGCCCAATTGCTGGCTCGAGTGCTGGTAACCCCGGAGGAAAAGCTACACTTGCTGCAGCAGGATCCGATTCATTTCCCAAGTGTGATGAAAGCAGGCTACGTTTTGACGAGCATGTCATTAGAATCAAGCTAGAGCAGTGGCAGCTAGAGCAGCAGGTGCAACAGTTGCAGCTAGAGATGAAGCAGGAACGGTGGAAAGGCAATTTCCAGCCACAGCAAGGTGCAATGGTCGGCAGGACCAACTAAAGCAGCAGCTAATTGAGCAGATGAAACAGCAGCAGCAGCTACATTGCCAGGAGCAACAACAGATGTGGCAGCTGGAGCACCACCAGAAGCAGCAGCAGCAGCAGCAGCAGCATCAGAAGCAGCCGCAACAGACGCAAGATCAGCAACATCAACCGCAGCAGCAGCCTCAGCAGCACCAACAGTGGCAGAAACGACACCATCAGCAAGAGAAGCAGCAGCAGCAGCAACAACAGCAAGGTCAGCTGCAGCAGAAACAACAACAGCAACAACAAGAACAGCAGCAGCAGCAGCAGCAGCAGCAGCAGCAGCAATATCAACATCAACAGCAGCAGCACCCTCAGCAGCGACAACAGTGGCAGCAACAACACCATCAGCAAGAGAAGCAGCAGCAGCAGCAGCAACAGCAACAGCAACAGCAACTGCAGCAGCAGCAACAACAGCAGCAGCAACACCAACACCAACACCAACAACAGCAGCAGCAGCAACAGAAACATCAACAGCTGCACCAACAACAGTGGCAGCAACGAGACCGTCAGCATGAGAAGCAGCAGCAGCAGAAGCAGCAGCAGCAGCAGCAGCAGCAGCAGCAGCAGCAGCAGCAGCAGCAGCAGCAGCAGCAGCAGCAGCAGCAGCAAGCAACAACAACAACAACAACAACAACAACAACAACAACAACAACAACAACAACAACAACAACAACAACAACAGTGGCGGCAGCAACAGCAACAGCAGCACCAGCACCACAACAACAACATCAGCATCAGCAGCCTCAGAAGCAACAGCAGAAGTACAGCAGCAAAAGCACCAGCTGCACCATCAGCAACAGCAGCAGCAGCATTGGCAGCAGCAGCAATATCAGCAGCAGAAGCTACAGCAGATACAGCAGCAACAGCAGCAACAACAGCAGGAGCAGCAGCAGAAACAGCAGCATCAGGAACAGCAACAACAGCTGCAGCAGCGGCAGCAATGGCAGCAGCTGCAGCAGCAGCAACAGCAGCAGGTCCTCTCAAATCTTCTCTGCAACAGAGCAGCTCATTCCCAAGCTGGCCTAAACGCCCCCTGCTGATGCTGCTGTTGATGTTACACGTGTCTCTGCGACTGTCGTGCACCTTCCTACGGCTGTAGTACAAGTTCCTAAGGCCGTGGCAGAGGTCCCAATGGCTGTAGCACCAATTCATATGGCTGTAGCACATGTTCCTACAGTCATGGAAGACGTCCCAAGGGCTGTAGCACCAATTCATACGGCTGTAGCACATGTTCCAACAGCTGTGTCAGACGTCCCAAGGGCTGTAGCACAAGTTTTTATAGCTGTGGGACATGCTACGTTCACTACACTTGGCACTCGTGTGAACGAATCACCTGATGGTGTTTCTGTTTCAGCATGTGATGCAGAGGTGTTGCAGCAGGGGGGAGCATGGGAGCAGCAGGCAGTGAGTCAATGGGAGGGAGATGCTCGCCTAGATTCCCCCCCAGGATTACCCACAGCATTCTGAGCAAGTCCTGCAGCTGCCGCAAGCTGCAGATGCTGTGCATGGTGGATGCAGCAGCAATAGCCGCAACAACGGCATGCGCTGCGATGAACAGCTTGCCCCCACACGCCTTAGTGACCTCAGGCTACCTGTACTCACCACAAGCAACTTCAACAGTGCCGGCAGTGCCTTGACCAACCCCAACGCAGCTACGTCAGACAGTAGAACCAGCAACGTGTCAACTTACTGTGGCAGCACGAGCAACAACCTTCCATACATTCCTATGACTGACCGAGACAGCAGCATCAGCAGCAGCGGTCCTAGTCTAAGCGGCACAAACAGCAGCTTCATGGAGCCATGGCAGCATCAAGGCATGGTGGACAACAGGGAGCAGCAGGACGCGCCAAGGTTGCAGCCCTCTGGGGCTGCATGTCTGGAAGAGCTTTATCTGCCCCCAACTGACATCACCACATGCCAGGCTATAATGAGCGGTTATGACGAATCAGATGTGGTTCCACTAGGTATGCACGGAAATGCGAATTGGTGTGATGACTTGGATGTGATTATGCTTTGAATGTGCAAGGGAGGTGCTGCTTAGTAATGAGAGGATTTTGTGATGATCAAGTCTCGTCTCTGAATGCTGTTTGGTGATTGTTGAAGCTCTGTCAACATTTTATAATGACGCGGATGTAGACATGCCATATGGCGAATTTGTCAAGTATTTTATTGCAGCATCCTCCACTATATTTGACTACGAAACATGTTGGCTCTAAAAAACATGGCTATGGTTATTACATTGTGTTCGAGAACAAAAAATTGTGTTCAACGCTTGTCGTTGGTAATTACGTTCTAGACGATCTGAATCAGGGCCTCATATTGCAGGCTTCTCACCCTGATTCAGGGTAAAATCAGGGCTTTTGGGGGGGGTGACCCTGATGAGACAGGATTTTTTTAAGACACATGCGTGAAATTTTGGCTTTTTTTTTAGGAGTGAACTCTGATCGATCAGTGTACTAGTGTAGTGAGCCCTGTTTGTCCAGATTCGTGTAATAGCAGATTCGCAGCCCCCACCCCTCCACCCGTGATTTCCGTGAGTTTTCCCAACCGCCCCTTGTCAATCCCGCCTACTTGAATGCGACCGTCCATTTCTGTTTCCGACGCGGTCGTACTTTCAGAGCCCAATCCTAGCCTTGGTCCCTCTGCGCCTGCTGCCATTGAGAACCCTGCTACCGCATAATACTAGGCATATATTACACAGCTGCTTTCTGTGTATAATCATGGTTTACTCAGCGTGAGAATTTCTAGGGACCTTGATGGATTAGGGAATTTTTTTTGGAGAGGCCTGAAAAATCAGGAGACCAGGGTTGGGGGACCCTGAGCTATCAAGGTGCCTCTAAACGAATCTGAGGCCCTGATCTGAATGGTATGATCGCTTTCTAATCTAAATGTAAGGAAAATCCCTTTTCCTTACCGAGCCTCGCTAACATCGAGTACAACCCTGACTTTCGGAAGTCCAGGCTCGGCCCGACATTTTAGGTTCGAACTACGTTCGAGACCACCAAGCCTATACGCGGCGTCGCATCCGACACTTTCGAGTCCAGAGGCACCCCAAACCACCTCGCGTGTGTTTCGTGGCCCTCCTCGAGGCCCCCTTTCTAGGCTAGCTGTGCTTCTATTGAGCCCTGACCTTCATTTGTACTCTACACACTTTAATTACGATCTCACTATTGCATTACTCAGCTCCCATCCAGAGATTATCATAACAGCTGGTATCAGAGCTATGTTCCTGCCCATTTAGGCTTCCGTCGTGAGGTAGTTTTTAGAGGGACCTCGCACGTTAGGAGAAAGGAGCTGTCCAGCGGTCATGCCGGAACTTCTTCAGTTTCGCCGACCTTGTCGTGTGCGCTCCCGTGGTGTCTTTAGTGGCGTTAGCTAGCTAGGGTAATTAATTGTCAATACCCCGCCTCGCCGTAGTACTAGAAATATGACTCCCGAGCATATAGCTGGGCTGTCAGAGGCGGCAGCAAGCGCATCAGTGCCGACGACGAAGGTCGACGAAATGATGGCGAAGATGGCGGCCATGACACTGGAGCTCGTCGTGTTGAGAGAGGAGAAAGTTAGCCTTCGCCAGGCGCTTGGTGTGATGCGTCAGGAGTCGCATGTTCCCATAGACGAAGATCGTACGAGCGCGCATCAACCGCAGACACATCAGCGACACGTGACGACTGTTCGAGCGAGCGACAGGCAGTTGTGAAGATCAAACTTGCCATGCCCTCACCGTTCAACCCACTGGAAAAGCACACCACGTTGAGTGGGTGGCTATTTGTCATGGAAATGTTCTTTAATGCCGTTGATGTCAACGACGATGAGACACGCATCAAGTTGGCGGTAACTTTATTACGCGGATCTGCATAAAGTAGGTGGCGACAGTACGTGATGTCACGAGGGACTCCGGCAGACAGGCAACAATCGATGGACGGGGAGCAAAGATTGGCTTCAAATTCTACAGGATCCTTATTTGGTGTGGCCGAGATCCTTACGTGGCAACCGTATGGTGCACTGCTTCGCAAGCGCTTCGCGCATGTATCCGGATGCGAAAACGCTCGTGTGAAGCTGCACGGGTGGCGTCAAACGGGCTCTATTCTAGAATACACATCATACGTCCTCGCCATCTGCGACAAAATCGACGATCTACACGAGACAAAAATATGAGTCAATACATCCTAGGGTTGAAACCAAAGGACCGGCGCGAAATTCGTATGCGCCGACCGGCGACATTCTTGGAGGTGCAGCAGGTCGCAAAGGCATGGAACGAGAACAGTGTATGGCCAAGGACGAATTTCCGGGAGGGAAGTCGTTTTTGAGGGCATAATATATACCCATCCATCAACGGTGTGGCGGCACCGTCAGATAACCAATTTTCTTGCAGGTGTTATAAATATGGCCAGTCGGGGCACATCATGCGGAAATGTCCGAAGTTGCAGAAATCGGGAGCTAAGGACGGAAGGAAGCCAGGAAATGGAAAGCATCAGTAGCAGTCGGGCCCCCTAGTGATAAGGCTTCATTGCCCGAAGATCACCATTCCCACCGAGTAGTAGTGCCGATCTATGCGATCGACCACACTCGGTTAAAGGGGAGTGAACCTGTTGACTACCCTATGCTGGTGGAAGGGCATGTTGGCAATACAAGATTAAAAGTATTAGTGCATGGTGGGGCATCACACAGTCTGCTCGATATGACAAGAGCGAAGAAGCTGCAGCTGCAAAGGGAGTGGTGCATGCCCAAAATCGACGTGCGGTTGGCTAACGGCACGCCACTTGCAATTCGGGAGCAAGTGAAACATGTTCCCATTGATTGCGGCAGCTAAATCAATTTCACCTCAAAGATGCTAGCGACAACATCGGACGACTGCGATGTGCTCCTGGGGCGCGATTGGCTTTGCACGTATATTTCCCGACGACCTCCCGCCCCACCTACCACCCGAACGACCACACGATCACAAGATTGAGCCAATGATCTGACCGTCCGATCGCAATGGAGGCTGAGTCAACCGGAGCTGATGGACATGCGTATGCAAATAGATTATCTGCTGGAGAAAAAAGCATCCGCCCATCCATGTCACCCTACGCCGCGCCGATTCTCTTCACCCCTAAAAGGACGGAGGGCTTCGGATGTGTACCGACTATCGCGCGCTCAACAACATCACCATCAAGTCGCCTTTCCCGATTCCACACGCCGATGATCTAATCGACCAACTTCGCGGGGCCATGATTTTTTCCAACATTGATCTACGCGGAGGTTACCACCAAATTTGTGTTGTGAAGCTGATATTCCAAAAACTGCCTTTCGAACCTGTTACGGAAGTTACGAGTATACAGTGATGCCGTTTGGATTGAAGAACACGCCGTCAACTTTTCAATTGAAAATAAACAAAGTCTTCCGCTCACTACTGGACAAGTACGTCATCGTCTACCTAGATGACATCCTGGTGTACAGCACCTCTCGGGAGCAACATTTGAAGGACCTGGAAGTCGTTTTTACCCTCTGCAATTAACACCGGCTCATCACCAAAGGTTTCAAGTGCAAGTTCTTAAAGGAGGAGCTGGGATTCTTGGGCCACGTTATCTCCACTGAAGGTGTTCAAATTGACCCGAACGTCAAGGAGTTGCAGAGTTTTCTGGGGTTCATGAAGTACGTGCACTATTTTATCCCTAAAATGGCAGTGTGAACAGCCCCGCTAACCGACTTGCTGCAAAAGGGAGTTTTTTATGAGTGGGGGGAGAGGAGCAAGCTGCGTTTGACCAACTGAAGACTCTTCTCATGACCCCACACGTCCTTTGTATCGCCGACCCCGACCATCCGTACGAAGTGGTTACGGATGACAGCGACATCGCCGTTGGCGCGGTACTGTTACAAGACTTTGGCGACAGTCTGCAGCTAATCGCCTAGGGCTCGCACAAACTCCAAGGCATTAAACGGAAATACCCGGTTCACGACAAGGAAATGCCCGCGGCCGTCAACGCTTTCAAGACCTGGCGCTGCTACCTGTCAGGTGCCGACGTTACTGTCTAAACAGACCGCAAGTCCCTACGGATCCTCTGAGCCCAACCGACCCTCAATCCACATCAGATTCGTTGGCTCGAATATCTCGAGTCCAACTTCCACAACCGAATCACCTACAAGGAAGGGGTAAATAATATTGCCGACGCCCTTTCTCGCCCCACTGCCCATACAGCCGTCATACTAATCGCCCAAACTAACCCGTTGCTAACTGGACTATTTACCCATGGTTACAATACTGATCCCCTTTTGACCTGTAACGGCCACCAGGCCCTGACCACCCAACGAGGCCACTACCACCTAAAAGTTGGTACTAACCGTATTTGGGTTCCATCCTATCGATTGTTACTGGAATTACTGATACAGGAGGTTCATGATGCTAACTATTCTAGACACTTCGGGGTTGAGAAATTCTTGAAAATACTCCAACGTCATTATTACTGGCCGAATGCGAGCCATGACGAACAGCAATATGTGGCCTCATGTCCCACCTGGATTACTGCAACCGTTAGAACTGCCCACAAAACCCTGGACGCACGTGTCCATGGACTTCATGACAGGATTGCCAGCTGGCGCATCCCAAAATGATGCTGTACTCATGGTCGTTGATCGACTCACAAAAATGGCTCATTTCATGCCATGTCGAACGACAATCACAGCGAGCAAACTGCCAAGCTCTTCATCTCAACCGTCATTCGCCTGTTTGGAATCCCGAAGGCAATCGTAAACAATCGTGACCCCACATTTACGTCCAACTTCTGGACAAAAATATGGGAATAGTACGATACACGTCTCCATCTATTCACGGCTTATCACCCAGAGATCGACGGTCAAACTGAACAGACAAATCAAACCATGGAGCAGCTGATACGGACAACCTGTACCGACCTAATCCAATAGGGAGAGACCCACCCCTTGATCGAGTTCGCGTATAACAGTGCCCCTTCGTCCACGACTGCCCAATCACCGTTCTACCTGAACTACGGTCTAAACCCCACGACTCCCACTACACCCTTAGTAGAGAGTCTTGCCCCACGGTCGCAACATTTCGTCAAGGACTTCATCACCAAAAAGGGCTTGTCCCAAAGGTGAACTGAAGGTCTAAAGTTTGGCAAGGATCTCAAAAGTGTCATTTGGGACACAGTCGGGTCATAATCAGGCCAAAAAATGCACGCAAGTGGCCTTCGTGTGACCCAATTGTGACCAAAATGTCTCTTTTGGGATCCTTGCCAACCCTTGGACCTTCTGGTTACCTTCGGGACAGTTTTGGGTTAGATTTGGGACATCACTTTTTGGTGATGTTACAGACTGCACAGAAAAATGCTACCGAGGCTATTACAAAAGCCAACCTTAGTGCCAAACGGTACGCGGACATGCATAGACGGGATTTACCCCTGGCTCCTGAGCAACTACATCTGCAAAAAGTTGCTGACCCAGATCCGACCCCCCCAACCCGATGTCCCCAGTTGAACCCACCGGACACTTTTGGGTCAGTTTTGGGATAGATTTGTCACCAACTGTCCCAAATCTATATGTGCATCAAGCCCGAAACTAGCCCTGTCCCAGAGGACACCTCGAGCATAATGCCCAGTAGAAGACGCAGGTTCAAATCCTACCACTAACAAATTGTGCACACATTTGGACAGCCTACAACAAGCTGTGGCCCCGAGTCAGGCAGGTTGATGAAATTCGGGTGCGGGTAAAACGACACTTGCACCAGACACATGTAGCTATGCGAACAAGTATTCAGCAGGCACCATTAAGTGATGGCCCACAAGCAACATACAGAATTGTCAGGGTCAAAAATAGGGAGAGTGTCATGGCCGGCCAGGGACATTGAAGCACAGGCATGCATCCCTTTCACCAGATGAAACGGTTCACCAGGAATATGCCCTGGTGTGTGAAGCTTGGTACGATGTATGCGAGGGATAGAATGATGTCCACATCAACAACTGCATAGGTGTCCACCCCCACGGTGGGCTGTAGACGCTGGCAGCGAGTGCAGGGGCACAGCCTGTCAACCTCGGTGAAATACTGCACGAATGCACGCCGCACCACCTCCTGCTCCGCGCCAATGAAATGAAACAGCATTAGGCATCGTCCAAACCACACCTAATTCCGCATCCCATCAATACGGATGTGGCTGAACCATCCCTTCTTGGGGGATGCCTTTACCACCTACCCATTGTCGCTCCGATCCATGTGGTCGTGCGGCGGGATAGCAAGGGCCGTGTGAACCTGCATGCACGGGTGTGGACGTGACAGTGTGTTGGGAATGTGGGGGAGAGTGGTGGGGGAAAGTGGGGTTGTATTCCGGGTCCCCGTTTGACCGCCCTCTAATAACTGAAGCTCCGCAAGCGCTCACAGAAGAGGAGGCCTTCCGCCAAAAGCCATTGGAGAGGGTGTTGCACGTGAACTTATAGGGGCAGCTAATCCGGGTAGGTTAAAGCAAAACCTACCTTCACCATGGTTACATGCACGTAGAGCCTCCCAAACAGGTAAGCAAACTGCCGCATTGCTTCGTCCCCCACCGCATCACAGTACGCGTCCCACATGTCGTCACCCATGCCCCCGAGCATCATGCTGCGGCTCCTGCGTGTCATCACACGCGCGTGGCGCTGCACTGCCTGCGAAATCAGGTGTGGGACACGCACGTGGGATGAACATCAGATTCGAGGCAATTTGCTTGGGGGTGAGGGAACTGCCAGGGGGGGGAGTGGGAGGGAGACGATGGAGCGTGGTGTTCAGGTTGAACCGTGCAAGACAACCCCATAGCCAACTGCATGCCGCACCTAAAACCGGATGACAAACAGTGCCAGCACAGATGTGGAGTGCGATGTGTGTAGGAGTGCGAACTGGTGCAGGGCTGAACCAAAGGTGGGTGCCTAGGGAATCGCGGGCAGGTTTACCAGACGCAGAGCTGTCTCGTAGTGCTGATCTGCACCGCCCTCTTCCCGAGAGAGCTGCTTAATGGCGGTCAGGCACTCAGACCGGAACGCAATATCCCAGCTGACATCGTGCCAGTTTGAGTTCTGTGCAGGCCTCTTCACCACCGACTTGTGACGGTGCTCGTACAGGTTAGACGAGTACTCCTTTGGCATGCCCCGAGCCTTGATCGTTTCCACCATGTGTGCAAGCAAGTGGACCTTCAGGAGCTCAAATCTGGACTTCTGGTTGGGGAAGGCATCAACCAGAGCCCCAATGAGGCCACCAGGAATGAGGATGGATTGTGGGGAGGGTATGGGACGGGGGGCAGGCCGGGAGCGTCAGTGAGATCTCGTTTTTGGGGCACGAGGGTTGGAGACACCACGATAGGAGCAGCAGAATGAGCTTGGGTCGGAACAGCAAACATGAAACCAAATGAATCCGAGGCCTCCTTGTCCGTGGCTGTGGATGCCGCCTCGAGAGACGCGTCGGTGTGGTACGCCACACGAAAGAAGGACTTGTACCAATCAGCGAAGTCCACAATTGCGCTACCGAGGTCCTCTCGGCCGGGCAGGTGACAGAAGAGAGGGAGGGTCTGCATCATGGCACGGTGCTCCCACGCTGCAAACTGGGCGACCGTCTTGAAGTACGTGGAGGGGTCCGGGGTCCGGAGGATGGAGGCCGGTGTGTGGAGCAGCACCTGACGGCATTGCCTGCATGGAAAATCGCACGGATGTGGGCGGTATGGCCGCCACTTCCTCAAAGGGTGGGGGATGGGGCAAGAGGTATGGGCAGCTAACAAGTCCAGCCACTTATGCGAGAAGCAACCTCAGCTCTGTGAGCGTGAGGATGCCGGAGAGGCACTTCATCATGTGAAGCCACGGCACCTCGTCCAGCATGTGCACGAGGCAGATTCCGATCGCCACGTACAGGTTCCCCAAAGAAGTGTCCACGAAGCCCCAGTCCCAAAGGGTGCACAGTGGGAAAAAGGAGCGCGTGCCACACACAAAGACGGGAAACCATGGTGGCGAATGTCGAGAGTGTCGGAGTCGGATACAGGGGGTGGTGGAGGCGGTTGGCCAGAGCCGGGCAATGTACAACACCGGCAAACGTGACGTATGGAGTATCGGCGGAAGCAGCAGCCACAGCAGTGCATGGGGCAGCCGGCCATAGCGGAATCAGCTCACACCTCTACCATGAGTCGGTCCTAGCTCCCATATAGGGCCAGCAACCCCACTCACCGGAACAAACTGGGTGGACCACGCCCGGCGGAGACGATCCCGCTCCTCAGGGGATGCACACAGCATCTCCTCATACAATAGCTTATGCTGGGTGACAGTGCGGGGCTGGTGCTGCGCCGCCACGCCGCACAACTCCCACGGGTTGACGATGCACTTGGAGCAGGGCTTGAATGAGATGGTGGCCATTGTGCAGGTGACTTTGCATGATTCCGGGTAGTCACAAACGTACGAGTACAGCAATGGGAACACCCAGTACGTGCTGCCCTCGTGATCGGTAACCATGAGGCCACCACTGCCATACCACACCGTGCAGGTGGAACAGAGGGGTGGGAGTAGGCGGGTAAGACAATGCCAAGCCAAGTCTATACACAACACATAGTGCGTTGAACACAGCAAAGAGGACAAGAACTCAGTAGCGGGTTGGGTAGGGGACCTACCTCTCCAGAGTGGAGAGAGCCATCAGTGGGGCGACGACAATGCACTCGATCTCCTGGAAGACAGCTGTCTTCTCCTCTGTCGACAGATCACCAGGGAGCGGGGGCATAAGGGCGACCACCTCCGTGCCACCCTCGATCCATCTGAACTCCTCGGGTGCGTTCATGATCGAGAGCAGCATCGGGTGAGCCAGTTGCTGGCCGTTAAACATCAGATGAGTGACGTCACTGAAGAGAATAACCCCCCCCACACAAAGCCGACCTCCTTCACTGCACCCTGTCTCGGCAAACACATTCCACCACGGCACGCAAGAAGTGCCACCATGAGATAAGGAGACGGTGGGGCTCATGGCTATGACAATGAGGCACCAACACTCACATGCGCATCGAAAAACCACGTAGTGTCCGCCGCCGTGCTGTACCGCCTGACACCATCAACCGTGTTGTCAACAGGCGCTGTCGCGAAACCCTCGACCATGGACAGCAGATTCCACATGCGGAGGAAGACCTGTCGCGAGGGCAGGGGGTGATGCATGCAGAACGTGATGGTGCTTATAGCGGGGAGCACGGCAGGCCCTGACAAAGACCATTGCAACCATGCTTCTAGAACCAGCCCTTGACAGAACGCACCTACATGATCAGGCGGCATCGGAGAGTCAAGACCCCAAGGTCATCACCCAGCTCTAGTTCCACTGTCTCCCACTCTCCCTCCATTTCCAGAAACTCGTTCTCAAATGTCTCCAAGTATCTGTGTGTCTCCCATCCATCCAGGTCTGAAAACAACCATTCCCTGTTCTTCATAAGCTGTATGAGGTCTGTGATGGTGGCATTTGGCAGCATGTACGTGCGTGCAAGGACCGCTATCTTGACCCTGATCTCCAGGGCCACTCTTGGTGGCCCCTCATCGTCGTCGCTAGAATCGACGCGCACATCAGATGGGACGCCGTCCGAATCTTCGTCCATTGGTTCATGCGCGGCGGCATTGTAGCATTCGGGCCCGGGGTTTGGCGATGTGGCTCGATTCAGGGCGGAAGTCTACGTTGTGACGTGAATCTGGATAATTGGCCTACGCTGCGAGTAATAGCGACCTACTCTGCGCCCCAGACACGCTAATCTTTGCTGC